ATTATTGGAATCGAATAGTCTCTCATCTTGCACTAATCCAAGAATTTATTTCGTTCGTATAAACAAATTATAATAAAAATAAAAGCAATAATAATAATAGTAATAATAATAACAAAAATTTGTCAACAATTACAAACATAGACACTGAACATGAATGACACGAAACTTCTGTGACATGTTGATGAAGGTTACATGAACTTGTATAACAAAAGAATTAATACTCGTAGCGACCGTATTTGGAACGCAGTGTTGAAATAATAATAATATTTTCACCCGAGGATGAGCGGTATATTGAATTGATCAAAACGCTTGCAACGCCTAGACGAAAACTTCAGAGATCCCACAAAATGTGTACAGTCTTGATCAGCAGCCTAATTCTGAATCGTATGAAGCATGCCCGTGCGTCCGTCTGTGCAATGTTTGTTGTAAACTGTCTCTAGGCAAGAAAAATGCCACATTTCCACTTCAAATTGGCAAAAACACTGAGTCTTCTTGCAAGCAGATTGGTTTTGAAAATGATTCAAATCAGTCGCAGGGCATGCCCATAGTACTAAGTAAAGTGTAGTACCAAGTCTCTGTTTTTCAAAAGTAATAAGAAATTAGTTTTTGCTCATTACTTCGTAAAGTACAGCAGATAGGTCTACATATGTATTGAACGTATATGCTTTGGAAAATAGGTAAGAGGCTTGAGTTTATTTCTTTTTTTTGCAATTGGTTTAGAGCGGACAGAAAGGTATGTAAATTCTTGGTCAGTTTCAAAATCGAAATGCATCTGAGCATATCCGTCACGCCGATGCGACAAAACTTTTTTTTTTTTTTTTGGGAAGATAGGAAAAATCAGTCGCATCCACTGCAAGAAAATTTAGTTCCTATAAGTTTTTTGCATTTTTAAGGATAATGATGATGCTCGGTATAAAAGATTGAATCACGATCGAATATAATTTTCTTATTTGTTTTTTTTTTTTTTATTTTTTTAAGTGTTTTGATTTTTTGGCATTGTATTGTAAGCACATCTGTGTGAGAGTGACTACGATTGCATTCAAAGATGTATGATGAAGTTGAGACAAGAGTGAGAAACGATTTCGAATCTCGGTCTTGACTCGACTGTGTTCGACAATACCAATGACAATCAGGCGAAGTTTCGCCTAATATAGGTTTCTTGGGGCTACGACAACTTGATACCTTTACATCGTTGATAAACGGGATACGAATTGCATGAGTTGCCATTATACGGCAAATAATTGGTTTAGCAAATAGCAAATATGGGTAATTTTTTTTTGTGCTTTAGTTATAAAACAACATCTCTGTTCTTAATATGTTAATAAATGTCCTTGCGCAGGCCAGTATGGTCTAGCAAGTGCTACTATTAACTGAATACGGAACAAGATGTACTTAACCTAGACATGAGTTTTACTATAAGTGTATAAACTATACATAAATAATTTATTGCTTTAGGAAATTTAAGCGCTGCACGTTATACTTAACAGAAAGTGTAAGAATCGAAAGGAAAAATAAAAAAAGAAAGAGAAATCAAAAACAACAAAACATTTTGCGTGTTTTTAATTCTCAGGGTTTGTTTTCTTTTTTGTTTTTTTTCGAAATTAGCTTTAACAATATACATATATAGATGTAAGCACGTATCGGCCTTGTTTAATTAAATCTTTCGAAGGTAAATCCTTAACCTTAACCAAAAACTCTTATAAAAAACAAGCATAAAGAGGAAGTAATTAAAACAAATATTATAGATAACGTGACTAACGCTTACTGTGGATAAACAAAAACACAAAATTATTCAAAAAACAATAAAGACCATTAAACGTTTGAAAAGCGATCAACAATTTCATTTATACAGAATTCGTAAGTTATTTAGCAAAGAAAACGCGCCATCTCTTCGCATTCTGTTGTGAATCTTACTTAGCATTAGCATCTTACTGCAAGTTTTGATCGAAAAGAAAAAAAAAAAACAAAAAAAATTTCTTAATCAATAATGAAATTTAACAGTGCGTAAAGTGTAAAGTCTTAGGAAATTAGATAAAAATGCCACAACACAACCTCCTATAAAACGATTTTACATGTCAAGTTAGAGAAGAGATCGACAAGATAGAATAAAGCAAATGTTCAGCGAATCGCCTTTCATTATATTCTGAACTGCTTGTCTTAAACGTATAATAACAAATTTGTTTGACTGTATGTAGCACTGAGAAGAATTTTGGCTGAATCCACTTATTGTTGGAACAGACTTTGGCATATTATATATAGTCCGTCTCTCTTATCGCCTGAATATGTCTAAGCATTCTTTTTTTTTTTTTTTTGCTCGTTGTGTTGTTCCATTTACCGATATTCAAGTTCATACATTCAAATAAATGAACGATCGAGCGACAGATGAGAGGCAAACATACTTAAAAACATGATATGAGCGATATGGTCAAGAAAATATATAATTTTCAATATCTAATGGGAGGAATTGCAAGAGACCATGAAAAACTCTTCTTTACCCAACAAAAGTCTCTGTCCGACCTTAAGGGTCGGGCTACAAACGTCTTTGAGTAATCATGAACGTTATCTCGATCATAAATAACTGTATGTAAACAATTCTATTTTCAGGACGGTAGGGTGTTTATCATTTCGTATTAATCAATTTTTATTTATCCCTTCTCCATTAATCGGTTTAACCACAACATATGCTTTTACTAACATAAGCCTTTCTGCCAACTTATGCAGTTCGGACAAATGCTAATAATAATCGTGTTTTAATTGACCAGATGTACTGTTAATCATCAACGCGATTGCGAAAAATACTTATTCTAATCATCAAAAGAATGTCGAAAATTTCCAATAGGAAAATATATGGCGGCACGTTTGATAATTGAGCCGAATGCCGTCAATCTCTTACCCCGCTCTTTGTCGATATCTGATATTTTCGTCTTAACACGGCGCCCGCCAATTGGACAATTTGTGAGTTCAAGCTTAAAAATTCTGCACAAGGAAGCGGACATCTTTATATGCCATATATTGGTTTTTAATGATTTAATATATTTTTCCGGGGACACGCCCACTTTGCTATTTCTACACGTAATATACTATTATTTTTATGGAAACTCGGCAAATATTGTGATTTCTAATAGTCACTAAAATGAAGGTAGAAAGCTAAAATTTGGCCCAAACATTCCTTGATCAATTAGAAGAAGGCTATTAACATATTGGCCTGATCGGCGTACAAACACGCCCAGAATATAGAAAAAGGTAAAATAACATTGGAAAATAGTGGCAAATTTTTTCAAATAGAGAGAGAGAGAGAGAGAGACAGAGAGAGGTGTTCATGAGAGAGGTGTTCATGAGAGAGGTGTTCATGAGAGTATTATGAAGAAAGTGAATTTGTGATCTTAAGAAAATTGACACAAACCAGGCAAAAAGCACATCATTTCATTACTTTTAAAAACTTTAAATATTGCATATTATAAATTGAAATATTGAAGTTTTGTTGCTATTCTCCGAGACAAAGTACAAAGTTTGTAACGTTTAGTTGAAACACTTGTTGCCGTTTTAGTGGACAATGAAAACAATAATATTCGTATAAGAGGTCTTACGAGCCAGCATCACTCACTGCCTTGCACACAGTTCAGAGTTACGCCTTCAACGATAATAAGAATGAAAAGGGATAGTTGGAGGAGTACACGAATGTAAATACATTTACGTAAATACGCGCGTAATTACACATTTATTTAATTGAATGCAAACATTTTGTTTGTTTGTGTGTGTGTGTGTGTGTGTGTACTTTTAAAAAGCAAGATGTCGATGTAAAAATGCTTTGTTAAATTTTAATTCTGCAAGCTAAAAACAAAAATCCTTGACTCCGTAACCGGCAGCATACGAATAAAGGGAAAATAAAATGCAAAAAAAAAATTTAGAAAACAAATGGCTTCCAAATACCATCCTCAGACCTTGCGATTGTGAAGGTGTTTTAATGAAATGTCCTTAAACTTTACCTTCGTACACTCATTTATTAAAATGTGTTTGTCATGCCGTGAACGTCTGTTGAAAACATTATTGCGTGAAATTTAATTATCTTAACGTAAGAGTTTTTATATCCGCGATGACGGCCAGGGTGCAACTGCTTGGTCAATCTGTCTATAAAGCACAATAATATGCATAGTAAGGCGGGGATTATGGATTTAAATAAAATTGAATTCCTTCGCTCCGCCCTATCAACATCAATCGATGAATTCGAATTGAATCCACGATAGATTGGTTGAGTTAATCCCTTTGTTAGCTGACACCGATGAAACAGATTAGCAATAAACATTGACAATATGCTCTTATAGCATAGCAGAGTGTTTTTGCTTAACTTGCATTGATATTAATGAACTCTTAACATTACGAATACGATATGACTACCACTTACTATTTAAATTAATTATGTGTTCGTTTATCATCAAGAAGAAAAGGTGATTTCAAAATCGTTGCATACATACGTTAGTGACATCTATTTACCTATAATAATATGCAAATTGATGGGAGTTTTATACATGAAACAACGTTAGCTATGTAAGTACGGAGCAGCGAATGGAAATAGTACGTGTAACGAATAGCCAGTAATGTGCAGAGTGAAGGGTATTAAGTTTCACGGTCATTGTTTAATATTAAACAAATCCTTTAAGTGAGAAATAAATATTTAGTTGACTAATGACCAGACATTCACGGGCATTCATTCAAGCTAATTATTCGTTGGCAGTGCAACTTAGATTCTTTGTTGCATGGCATGCCCCGGGAAAAATGAAATTTTCGAATCCTTTATGCCTGTATACACTCAGATTTTGATATTATATATATATATATATATATATATATAAATGATGGTCATTAATTTTTAATAACATTTTTCTGACAATACATTGGTATGAAATATTCGCGAAAGTGATATTTGTTATCATTTAATTAGTTGTTTTTGGTTATTTTTTTTTTTTTTTGTATAAGCATATGCTCTATGTATTTCGTTACAGGTGAATGTTACTTGGGGTTTGCCATATTTTGCGTGTGATTTTTATATAGCCATGGATGTGATATGTTCCACTTCATCGATTTTTAATTTAGTTGCAATATCAGTAGACAGGTATGTAAGCAATTTACACAAGAATAACCGCAATAACAAAAAAAAAAAAAAAAATAAAAAATAAATAAATAAATAAAAATAAAAAAAAGAAAGAAAAATAATGACAGTACGAGTAGATAGTTCTACCATTGACATCATTGACATCATACATTTTCACTTGTCATGTTTGATATACGAATACATGGCGGCATCTCAATGTTGATGCAGAGTACATTGTTGTGCTATAGTCCGTTAGTGTTAAATTGTTTTTCCGCTTTTCTTATCTCTTTTTTCATTTTATTTTTTTTTTTTTTTTGTTGTTTTTCTCTTTTTTTTTTTTCATTTATTTATTTATTTATTTTTTTGTGCTTTTATTTTGACAGATACATTGCTGTGACACAACCAATAAAATATGCCAAGCATCGGAACAGCCGACGTGTTTGTCTTACCATTGTTATGGTGTGGGCGATATCGGCGGCTATCGGTTCACCCATTGTTTTGGGTCTCAACAATACACCGGACCGTGATCCCAGCCTGTGCATGTTCTATAATACGGATTTTATTGTTTATTCATCGTTGAGCTCTTTCTATATACCCTGCATAATAATGGTGTTTTTATATTGGAACATTTTCAAGGTGAGCTGTTTAAATGTTAGAGAAAGAGTAATAAGAGCATGAATACATACCTATATATATATATATATACATACGTACAGAGCAATAGTGTAAAATGAAAATATAACGTAATAAAACAGTTAATGTTTTGGTTATTTCTTCTTTGAATTGATGCTTAAGTCATAGCAGGAGTCTCTTGTATATAAAATCAATCAATACACATACGCACAATTCCACACATAAAAGAGTATATTCCTTGAGCTGTGCATGGCATTTAGTCGGATTAATTTAATACAAAGTTTGTGATGAACACACACGCAAAAACACACACACACACACACACACACACAAACACACACAATTTTTACTTGGAATAAATTTGAATAAAAATATTAACGTAATACGACACCTCTTACCCTATGATTTTCTCATACATATTTCCTTTGCAAAATAGAAATGTTGGCTTCATACAAAGCATGCAAGCGGAAGCCCCCCGTAGTTGAGAATCAATTTTAATATTAATTACATTTATTCTGTATAACTAAAGAAAGTGTTAAAGTTTCAATTCTTTATTCGTAGAAACAAAAACCTTGAAATCTGAAGTGCCATAGCGTGATTTACTTGTGTCCTTCATATTTAATGAGTTGGTTGAAAGAATTTACTAAAATTATAAGTAATTGAACAATTTTTACACCATCACATCAGTTGTGATAGAAAGACGTATCAATCAATATTCTGCGGGTGCATTTAACGTCCAGAAAGACTTGAGATAGACCCACCTTCTCTTGTACCGATCGAACTAATCAAGACCAAAGGTCTTTCCGTCTGACCGTGCATGTTTTTGTTCAATCTAAAGGTTGCGTTGTACGCAATACTTTGGAATTGATGTACTGATGTGTTCTGGTCCAAGGACAACCCTATTGAAAGTGGATTGGATTGGATCGGATGCAATCTACAAATTATAAATTTCGAAATGTTTGGATGAACTTTGGTACAGTGCCATATTTGCGCCTAAGACAAACACTTTTGCAACTGATTCGCATCGGACCACTTTTTCGACTTCCACATAAAGACTTTCTTCGAGAAATCATTATATGAATAATTGCATTAAGCGAAGGATTAAGTGTAGGATATTTAATAGTGGCTCCTCGGAATTGTTCTTACGTTATCAATCTCAAAACACGATCTTCTTTAAAAGGTAATCAATAATAATAAACAAGTAAGTTATCGTTGGTTTGAAGCGGATCATCGATAAAAATGAATACATAAAAACTTCGTAAGCCCTGGAGAACTTAATATCAATAAAATATTTAACTTTATTAAAGCGACTGTACTCCTGTACCCTTCAAAAAAAAAAAGAAAGCCGATTGTCTTAATTGCTGGCGTTTATCTCACTTCTAGTTCTGAGATTTGCTTAAGATATAGGATTTGCGCCAGGCTTTTAATGGGGTTTACATTGAGAATGATTTCATTCGAAATCACCGTCCTTTGGATTATGCTAAAATTATTATATTATAAATGTATATAATAACTTTGACCCATAAACATGCGCTTTTCGTTTAAATATAATAATATATTCCAAATTATGAAAAATAAAAAGAAAATAAATGAAAACATTATTATAGTCCGGTGAAGCCAAGAATTAAATACTTTACCACACCGCGCTTAAGATATTTCTTGATTTACTTTCGTGATAAAATATCGAAAATGATGTTCTATTCTCATCTAAAAGCGTGCTTTCCCTGGGGGCGTCATAATGCGAGCTGATATCATTCAAACTAAGCAAGGATCTTATTATTCTTCATCCCTTTTGATCGTAAAGTGATCAAAATTGCACTTTATTGTCTCGTAAATTATTTTATTTAATTTGTATCCTTATTTTGAATGAAATTGAAAATATATACCTATGTAGTCCATGTTTTCTGCGGTTAATTTTTATGCCAAATTACTATTATGAACCAATTTCCATCATGAGATATTAAAAATTGGGCAGTCTTATCTATCAGTCATACAGGCTGACTTTTCGTTAGAGGGAGTTTAAAAACATTGCTCCATTAGTTGGGGCTGGAAAAATAAGAAATATCATTACTTGAATTTTTCTTCGAGAAAATTCCAAAATAATGCACATTTTTCAATATCATTATTTTTGTCAGATTTTGTCCTTACGTAATATTGGCCGTAAAAGTGATTCGATTCAAGTCATTTTGATAAGCAATTCCATTAAAATATTAGGCAAACCGAAAGATGAACGAACAGGCAGATAAGCTTTCGATAATTTGAATCGATCGGTATAGGAAAAGTTTATCAACCACCCGCACAAACTTAGTATACAATTACTAGAAGGAGCGTAGCGTATAATTATTAACCATTTGAGGAACAAAAAACTTACGTTTCTGCATGTGTAGCGTTTTAATTTTATCATCTCACTTTGTTACTCATACGCAATTTCATTTTTTGTTCTTTTATTTATTCAATTATTTATTTATTTTGGTAAACAAACAAACAAGCGAACGTAGTGCAATGCTGTTTAATTGACCACTAATTTCGCGCAAAAACAGAGAACTCATGTATAATATTTCGACGCAATTGTACTGGAATGAGATTTGTTTGATGCTTTCATTCCACGTATTTTTTTGCGGCCAGAAAGGTGATTTTTTGCTTGATTTCGCTTGAAATGTGCGAACACGCTATTAGATTAATTTTTTTTTTTTTTTTTTTTTTTTCTTGATTACAATTTGCAGTTGATTGCTTATTGCGGATTTGCGTTAAAGGTTGACCGCGTCCATTTTATCGATGGAATTTAATAGTACCATGAGCAATATTTATATGAAGCCTTAGATCAATACCCGCTACAATTGTAGTTATTTGTGCAGGTGATGGTTTTTAGCAGTTTTAGAAAGATTTTGTTTTCTGCTTTTTTTATCTGGTCGATTTCGCTCATATAGGCTGATCCATTTTGTGGGTAGGCGGTTCGCAATCCTGTTTCAGTAACATACGGAAAATAGAATTGTCATTCGTGGAATAGAATCATGTATTTAGTGCAAGGTTTATCCACATTTTACAATATGGATCGTTTAACAATCGCTGAACGTATTAATATTGCAAAAACTATGAGCGGATTGTTGATGACATAATCGTTTATCTGAGTGCGTTACAGATAAAATTTTGAAGAATTTTGAAGGAATTAGATCTGTGCAACAGATCCACTGTTTTGGCTCGCACACTATCGAAATGCATTTTCGACCGCAATTATTGGCGCTATTAGTTACCTTACTTCATTCAGTTAACACAAGAACTGGAGCCGACTAACCATTCAATGCATAGAATATACTTTGCTTGGGTGCTCAAGCAGCAGTGTTTGGGTGAACATTTTTCGTATGGAATTGTCTTCTGGGGAGAATCTCATTTTTCGCTTGGTGATTAAAATTGTCTCATCTAGGCCTTTGGAAACCAATACGTAAATATCGAAAAGCCGTTGCATACCAAAAAATTTAATGTAACGCAAACAGTCAATTCTGATATCTTCAGCTTCTTCTACGTGATTATGAAATTTTTTTGTGGTGAAATTGAAGATATGGATGGTTTTACTTACGTTCACTTACGGAATCAAAAGTTGGGTAGCCCCAGGTATGGCCAGGTTACTTAAATCTTGTAATAATGGGCTGACAAACAAGCGCATCGACCAGATAAGATCAATTTAGATCTTGTACTTCTCAACCTAATACATTATGCTACGAACGGAATGATAAGTTTAGTATACTTGCACTGTCCTTAGGGGAATAAAAATACTAGAAGTGTGAATGAAGAGTGGAAAGGATGTAAAGGAGCGAACAGAGGAGCGACGAAGTTAAGTCAGACGTAATCGATAGAATGCATCGAATCCATCAAATCCACCATTAAAGGGCTAAACTAATCTTTAATGTCCTCTATAACGTAAGTAGTTAGCCCCGAAAAAAAAATAATAAATTTTTGAAAACTTGGAATTTTGAATAAATTAATAAATAAAAAGATTTTACATACTCCCGTATAACGGGCTTCATAGATGATCTAGATCTGTCCATGCTCAACGTACTACGTTGGCAAATAAGAAGAAGGTTTTTTTCGTTCGTAAATCGTATTTGTTATAATTTTACTGCTTGAGATATAGGAGCGATGAGAAAGCACCATCTTTATTATTTAAATGCAGTTGAATAGTTCCAGAGATTCCTACTAAGCCTTAGTCTCATGCAATTCAGACTGCAGTGAGATGGGAACCAATTCAGGATTAGTTGTTCAAACTTTGTTTTTGTAAATGTTACAAGTTTTCGTTTGCTTTTAAATAGTGGGAATATGTTTATATTACGGATTGCCAGCAAAAAAAGCAACGGATACTATGACGCATAAACATAAAATAAATTTTAAGAAATGCAATTAAGTTTTGTGCAATTTTTTTTTAAATAGGTAAGTAAGTTAATCTTGATAATATCATTGTTGCGTATTTTTGCAGGCGTTACGTAGCCGAGCGCGAAAACAACGTGCCGCGCGTAAACCTCATCTCTCGGAATTAGCGGGCGGAAGTGTTATCGAAAATGTCGCACAAACAAGACGATTGGCGGAAACCGCTTTAGATAGTAGTCGACAAGCGTCCCGCATTATGCCAGATGAACCGGCCACGAACACCGGATCAGGATCGAACGAAGAGGAGGACGAAAACGCTATATCGCCAGATATTGATGACTGTCATGTGATTGTGAACGACAAATCCACCGAATTTATGCTGGCAACAGTTGTAGAAGAAACAGGAAAGTAAGTCAAGCGAAAAGCCTTTTTCTGTTTTGTAATTAACCCGAAATTTAATTAATTTAATGCATATTCATTGCATTCTTATGTGGAATTTTGCGATTAATGTGCGTTTGCTTCTTATCTGTTTGGTGCCTTATTTGCGGATACGTGTGCGTTTTTGATGTTCTTTATAGTGTGGTGGCCCAAATAACATCTCAGCCTCAACTAATAGTGGCCGACACAAATGGTAATCATGATTCTGGTTATGCACCATCAAACGTTGACGATGTCCTTACAGGCATAGCCGAAGAATCACCACCCGACAGTCCGGTGGTTAGTGGGACCCTGCAACGACCAACCATTAGCAGTAGGCAAGATACGGGTGCCGACGAATCATCTAAACGGGAACCAGCTTTAAGGTGCGCATTTAATGAAAAATTGCTTTTATTTAAATTCAAAAAAAAAGAAAAAAAAAAAAATGTTTTCTTTTTATTTTCTCTTAAATAGTGCTGCCATAAAGCCATTATCATTAGTGCGCTACGGTGTACAGGAAGCCATGACATTAGCACGCACTGATTCAACGCTATCGACCACATCGAAAACTTCTAGCCGTAGAGATAAGAAACCAACACAGGGATCCAGGTAAACATTTTGCCATCAAAAAACTCTTCTCTAGCGAAATAATTTAAATTTACACTGCATTATATATACATATATATATATATATATATATATTAAATGTAAAAATATGTTTTTCCCTAAAACGTTCTTTATTTTCGTTCCTTTTTCTTTTTCGTTCTCTACTTACGTGCATTCCACCATTCACTGTCATGGAAATTGAATATATGAGACAGATTTACAATATATAAAGTGCATAAGCCGTCGAAAAAAAAACGTGAAAAATCCTCTGCAAAAAAGGAACGTAAAGCCACCAAAACGTTGGCAATTGTTTTGGGTAAGTTTATACGGAAAATACATCTGCACCTGCAGGAAATGTGCTATGCATGAAACGATAAAGTAATTCAGTACACTTCAGAGATAGCGAGACAATAAATTAAAAAGAAATAAAAAAAAAAAAAAAAGATCTCAAAGCAAAATAATATAATTTAAGGCGTGTGGGGCCCAGCTAGAGTTAGCCGAAAGGAAAAGAAAAAAAAAAAGAAAAGATAAAACGTGCCTGCAATTTTTCTTTGATATTTAAGCCTGATTAATATAAAATACAGGTGCTCCTTAAAACTGGTGAAAGCATAAGGCGAACTTGAGTTCATTGAGGTCGAAACTTCAAGTTTTGTGCGATGATGATGATAAGGTACTGGGATACGCTCTAAGGAGCACATAAGGATTCTATTGCAAGGACATTTTTTTCCCGCCAAGAGAATTTCTATACAGTTACTCTGTTATGAAGGTCTTTGCATGGTAAGAGCTGTGTCGGTATTTCCCCACGGACACTCAAATATTATACGCAAAGGTAGTAACGGTTTACGATCGGAGATATATGGAAGACGCAAAAACCGATACGGCTACATGTTGTTTAAAGTATTTTGCCAGTTTGCAGGCGCGAATCATTTTCTTTTGTTTTTTTTTTTTTTGTCTTGACGGCTGAGATGGATTCTTCGGCCAATTTTGTTTTAGCTGTGCTTACCCCCCCCCACTACCCACCCAAAGTCGCATTAAATATTATCAAATCAATTAACAGTTGTCGTCTTGTTTCTTGGCCCTCATACGTGTGCACGCCGTCACGTCAGGACATGTGATTTGACCTACTTTTTGCAGGAGTGACATGAATATAATGAAAGACATGTTGCCGTCTAACCGTCCGGCTGCGAGTCCACCTATTTGATCTGCCATCTGAACCTTCAACTATATATACGTCTGTGCATGCGTTCAAATGTATACGGATCCGGGCGTCAGCTTCACATCTGCTTTTCAACTTATCAAAATTTCAAAAAATGAAGTTGATGTGTTTACTTTACACCGTACTTCAACTTAAGAAGACTGAAAATGGATTATATCTATCAACTGTAGGTGAAAAAGCGAACCGATCTAAAACAAAAAATATCAAAAATATCTAAATATTTTAACTCATGTAGCTTTTGATTTAAAATTTAAATAAATATAAAAATATGAAGTTCAAGGTTTTAAAAATTACCCCATGACACGCTCATACCAATAGTTTGCCATTATTGTCTCTGACCCTATATAAAATGTTAATTACACTGCACATTATTTATGGTATTCGGTGTATGTGCGGTATATGCGGACGTATGTAACAACCGCAAAGACTTAGCCTAGATGTATCTTTTATTGTATCGATCCATGAGGAATACATTTACACGTTATGTTTATGTTTGTCTGTCCGTTTGATGGCGGTTCATGTATTTTTATGCTCTATCTAATGAACGCAATTTTTGAGATATTTTTAAGAAATTCGGAGTTTTGAAGCATATTGTTGAGTATTGCTTTAGTCGGAACTTTTCTACGTTCAACTTCGCATATAACACCTTATCTTGAGAGAGGTGTTATATGGAAAAAAATTTTACAGATGAATAGGGACCGACGATTGTCAAAAGCATGGATCGGACGAAGTAATTTATTGAGCCCCCTTTTATATAACCGTTGCTAGGAAGAATTGATCTTTTTATGACAAAAAGTTTTAATGCGTAATGCTTTCCGATTTACTATAAAAATGACCTATAGAACTGTACGTCTGTTTCTTCGATTGCATTTTCATAAATTTTTTTTTTTTTTAATACACAACAAAAGGGAGTATAATTTTAAACACTTTATGATGAAAATAGATAATCAATAATAAGATCTTTTAGAAGAAAGCATATTTTGCTTAATTTGAACTATGCCAGTTCACGTGTTGAGCTCTCTTTTATATAAAGATTTATTTATCGAAACGAAGGATAATTTTCGATATTTTACTACGAAAGTAGATGAAAAGCTCTGGACATTTTAATAGTCGACCTTACCTGACCATAATAAATTTACCTGTTTTTAACATTCTTTCCTTTTTCTGTTTCTGGTTGGTTGGTTCGCTTATTTCTTTGTTCATTATATTCTGCTTATAGAAAGAGTTCAAGTGATTTATGTATATATATATATATATATATGCATTTTCACATCATTTATTTATTTATTTATTTATTTTTCTTTATTTACAGGTGTTTTCCTTTTCTGTTGGCTGCCATTTTTCTCATGCAACATAATGGATGCAATGTGTGCGAAATTTGACAAGAACTGTAGTCCAGGTATCACGGCTTTCATATTCACCACCTGGCTGGGTTACATAAATAGTTTCGTGAATCCTGTCATATATACAATATTTAATCCGGAATTTCGTAAAGCCTTTAAAAAAATCATGCACATAGGGTGATTGAAATTACACGTTGCATCTAAACGGATTACATATATAAATAGTCGCGTCATCATCAAATTTTTCATTACAACATACGCTACTGTAAGTAATTTTTGGCGTTTCCTTTATATAAATGTTTCGTTGTGTTTCGTTTTTGATAATAATAATAATAGTAATAATAATAATAATAATAATAATAATAATAATAATAATAATAGTAATAATATCTACACAAAGTGGTTGTTTGAATATTAACACACAAGACAAGTGTGTTTAACGTTTCTTATACACACATCGCAGACGATGATTTGACATCCGCCATTGTTGTTAAGTGCTTGCCTAATTCGTGCGGTTAATTTTCTTAATATGAACTGAATATGAACAAATTAGCGAATACCTTCTGAATAAATTCTTGATAAACATTTGCATAAACCGCCTGCATTTTCTTGATTTAAAGTATTCATAATTCATTCATTTAACGAACATTCAGTTGTAACTCGACTCGTTTTAAACGTGATAAAGACCAATTTTTTTTTTTTTTTAATCACATTCCTTACTCATATCACAATATCTTTTTCGCTTCGTATAGTAGGAGGAATATAAAATAGCGCGCTTTTCATATGAGTAAACCATGAAAATATGAGCGAAGGCTTCTTTTTGTGTTTGTACGCACCCTTCATCGCATACTAGTGCCTCCGTTAATTGCGCGAAATAAATGCATCTATTAGATTAGACATAGAATTGTTAACCCAAAGGACACGTAGCATTTAGGAGAATTCAAGTACGGCCCGACTGCGTTACCTCTAAGATTGGCCGGTTACGTCTTCGCGTAAGTCTCGTTTTATTTTGAAGCTTACTATTGTATCAACTCCCAGAGGGTATATTTATTACAATTATTTTGGTCTGTTCGCCTCTTATGTTGTCTGCTTTTTATTGGAAACATAAAGCAACACAATTCGCCAAGGAGACCTTTAATTTGTTCCATTTCCATGTAGGATTAGTTGCGACTAATATTTTGCGGTGCTGGTTTTTTTCAATTTTCAATCGGGCTAGATTTCACTTTTCTAAGAGTTTCAACGCATCTATGTTACTTGATTAATAATCTTAGTTGATAATGCGGGTCTTACTTTAGTCCAAGAATTTATTTCCATGGGATAAATGCATTATTAAAATAATTATATTGCATGAGAGAATTTTTCCTTACTGTGAGTTAAACTCCTTGAAAGTGATATAGGAGCATTGTCGTTGTCGCACAACCGCCCTCCCCTCAAGTAAGGCATTATCAGCAGAATCAAATCTGCAGAGTCAGCAATGACTGTTCGTTGCAAATAGGGCTGAGATGAAGTGTAAAGCGATTTAGATGCGATTAATAAAATATTTTTCTGTTTCTATGGGTACACCTGATCGCCCTCTTTTATGCCGTATTATTGAAGTTTCGCAAAATATTAATGGCTAAGCCATGAAGATTTTTGCTCTTTTGCGAGAAAATTTAACTCCGAAATAATTAATTTCGTAGAATTCATAGGACGAATCACAAAAATCCAAACTAATTTGCGCAACTTATTGTAATTTTTAGGTTAATATTTTGACAGCTTTTAGAAAAAATTCTTCTTTTTTTTTTTAAAATATCAATCGAATTTATTACTATTGGACTTCATCTGCAGACAGGTTCTTATCATATATTTCGAGTCGATAGGCTTAGTTGAAAACTACTAGGGCTCACGTTATTTCAAGTTTAAGTATTTTTTTTTTTTGTTTTTAGGATAAATAAATTTTTTTTTTTTTCTTAAAGAGAAACTTCTTAAAATATTATATACAAAAGGTATGGCAGAGGAGTGCACGTAAAGCAAACATTCAGATAAATCAACAAACTCATATATGGCAAATAGTTTCAAAGATTTAACTCACACTGAACTAACGTTTTGCAAAAATTTGCATGAAACGGCGAAACGGCAAGATATGCTTTTTCTTGTCCACATAATATATCGATTATTAGTCCCGTTAACCAAGACGAAATGAAAGGCTCTTAATTGATTTTAATGCTTTCATTATTTACCTATCGATTTAGGTAAACAATTAACAATGAGTGTATGCTTAGGTAGTAAAGAATTTCAAGATTTTTTTTTTTTTATATATTTATTTATAAAACTTGGCGAACATATCATAAATCCCAACGCAAAGCATCAACTATTTTACAATAAACAAGAAAAAAAGTTAAAATATATATATAAAAAATAAATAAAATAAATTTCATAAAAAACGGAAAATATGCAAAATATAGGAATAAATTCACTGAAGCAACGACAGAGAGATTAACCAAGAATCTCTTCTTCTGTAGCTACATACATATGTATTATGTCTATTTAAGTGTAACAGTAAATAAACCAACAACAATAAATGTAAAAAACAAAGGGAGTTAAATAACAAAAGTTTGAAGAAAACACTGAAAATAATAACCGGAGAAAATTTTTACATTATCAAGAACCTAAACAATAAGTTAAAGTTAGGTAGGTGTTGGGGTTTGTATTTTGTTAAACGCATTCTGACTAAATGCTTATACATACCAACTTCAGCACTTACATGTAAGCATACACACGCATATACATATGCACACGCACATGTTCACACAGAGAGCGAGAGATACAAATCCACAGGCAGACAGACGAATATATATATATATTGTTTATACATATGTATATATATACGTATGTATGTATATGTGTGAATTATTCAGATTTTTGTGAAAGTAACAAAAGATTACATTTAGGATAGAGAAAACCAAAAACCAAGCAAAAAATAACAAACTAACGAGAAGCGAGTGAGACAGAGAGAGAGAGAGAGAGAGAGAGAGAGAGGGAGAGAGAAAAATTCAAAAGAAATCTTTCTTAATTTCACAAAAACCCGTAACTGAAAATTATAAAGAAAAGAAAATGAAATAACAATATGCATAGTATCAAATGAGCCCCCACGTAAAGATATTCTCTGAAGCGTTTCTTTTTCAGTGTGAATTCAACAAAGAAATAAAAGCAAAACAAAAGAATATAAGAACCATAAAAAAATAAATAAATAAATAAATAAATAAATAAATAAATTGATTCTAAATAATGGAAATAATAGTTAATTTTAGTTGTTAACATAATAATTAGGGATAAGATAATAAGAGAGAACACAGTATAAAAAGTTTCTTCTATTTAGCCGGTAAGTTAGCCAAATGGTTTATATTGTATATATATATATATATAATTATTAATACTAAAGTAATATATATGTTTATATATGTATGCATATACATACATATAATGAAAAGGAAATCATTATCATAGTAAAAGTAATTTAAAAAATAGGAAAAAAAAAAAAAACGGTAAAATAAATTTACGTAAATTTGGCAAATTAAAAATAAATATCTGTAAAATAATTTAAACTTTAGACAAAGGAAATGAAAATGGAAAACAAAAAGAACAATAGTAATTATAATAATAATAGTAAAAGGAATATATATATATATATATATATATAACTATATATATATAACTATATATATATATATATATATATGTTATATATAATTAAAAATAAATAAATAAAAAATAAATAAAAATTGAATCAGGGTATTAGTAAACCAAACAAAAGAGAAACCAAAAATTTCTTAATATAAAAGAAATTCATTCAATCAATCGAATACAGATAGAAAAGAATTTATTTAATTAATTTCATAAACACATACATATATTTACGTATATTTATAACAGCAAAAATACATTTTCATATTTTTATTATCGAATACATTTAAACCGGTCCCACTCCGCCCATATCTTTAAATTTTTTTTTTTTTTTTTTTTTTTTTTTTTTTTGTAAATGAAATTTTCACTAAACTAAATCATTCTTTGAAATCAATAAGGATTGATAAGGACTTGGGTGCGATTCGATTTTATTTTATTTAACTATTTTGTTGAAAGGAAAGACACTAAGAAGGATTCGTGTGACATCGGTATTGGAAAGGGCAAAAGTTTACTTTTAATTATTAATACTTCATCTTATCACAACATGACAAAGACTCGTATTGGTTTTTCTTTGTTAATTGAAATCACTATCGCTTCACTTGATCTTACATAGCAATATAGACGCAGACGGCTGCGTAGTCATAAAACTGTATGTTTTTTAAATTTTGATTTTTTCAATCAATCAAATCTATCGATACAATGTGAGATTTCCGGTCTCTTACTCGACGAACTACAAATTGACTCACAGTAATAGGCGTTTAAGTCAACTGAAATAATTATTTAAAATGTGATAATTTTCGATTTATTTATACATTCAGGCTTCGATTTGCATGGCGAAAATCAAGTGAACTTGATATGATTAGTAGCGTTAGATAATATATACAAAAGGAAAGCCATTTCGGTTTGTTTGCGTCTTTCGTTAGTCATATGTAATAACGCAAAACGAGATCTGCATATACGATCTTTTAATACAAGAGATATTACTTCAAAACCATGATATAATAGAGTGATTGTTTTGCGAGTTGGCGTGGCGGCATCAATTAACACTATTTGCATGCTTCTTATCAATTCGAAACGAAAAACGCAAGTCGATCAGTATCGTTTGGTAATGCAACTCATTCTCGTCAACTGTCGTATCATTAGCATTTTCGTAAACTTATGATCCAATTACACCGCTTACCTAAGAATATCAAACAATACCCATCTATTACTTATTGTAATTGCTTAGGTCGTTCGACGACTCTGTCTCTTGTCTTGCCCGAGACTTTACAAATGACAATTTCGCTTGTCTACACACTCAGACAAATTGCAAATGAGTCTTTCTCGTCACCCGGAACGATAGTATTTAAAAAAGTCCCCATTGAGTGTATGCGTATGCGTATGCGTATACGATATCGATCGCTATATTTGGATAATTCAAAAACTTGTGTTCAAGGACCCTGTATATTTTGTAATCAATATCCGATGATGATATCAATGATGTAACTTGAATTTATTTATTGGAATTGAACTAACACGTATTCACATTTACTAAGCCTGCTTGCATTTATAGATATTCGCGAATATGAGCCGCAGACCTACCCCCATTCACAATTAAGTCTAAAACTCTTTTAAAAACTTTGAAGGCAATCTTAGTGAAAAGATATTTGGTTTTTTATGAGTTCAGGTTCGG